CAGGGCCGGTGGCGGCCGTGCTCCCACCGGCCTCCCCCTGTTTACAAACACAGCTGTTGCTGTATATTTGCAATGCTAAGGATAAAGCCACCAGCAGCGAGGAGCAAGCGAGAGATGGTGCAGGAGAGGGGTCCTCGGCATCTGGAAAGGACAGGGCGCCTTGTTTTTGAAACTGTCAATTCCCTCAACCCCTATTGTGAGCGCTTCATGCAAAACATCTCGGGCCTTTTAAAGAGGGGGCTTGTGAGGCCGCCTCGGAGTGAAAAGGAGAGAGGGGGAGAGAGGGGCCTAGGGCACGGCAAGGCAAATAATTATATCAGCGCGGTGAAAAAATGCAACGTGGAAGGCCCAAAACCGGTTAGCCGTGCCTCCTGAAGGTTTTTCGGGCAGGCCGCGGCACTCAGAGCCCTGCAGCCGGGAACCCGCGCTCGGCCCAGCAGATGTTAGACCGCGCTTTCCTTAAGCGGTATTTTTCTTTCTTTAAGCGCGGTTGCGGGGCTAAATGCCAGGGGAATGGGTAATGTCTGCAAGCATGACTTTAGCAAGGTAGACCCCAGTACCCCCCTCCTGATTTTGCTAGCCAGTGCTTTTAATTTTCAGGCCCTTGCTCACCTTTTATGCTTCCAAGCTGACAGAACAGATCCCAGGATGAGCCATTACATACTCCTTCCAACAATCCTCTTAACCATAAAAACCACAATTAACAACGCTATCCGTGTTTCATGTTCTCTAACATACTGCATATGTAGAATATTTTCCCGCAGATTACCGTTGTGGGTGGAAAATGCCATGCTTTTACCCCTCTCTGTCTCAACCACTCACAAGTGTGAACAGTGACAAACACAAACATGATAGCGTTGCTCTCGTTTCTGCAGAAACTTTAATTTATTGGCAACTAAATGTGTTAGAGGAAAAAGGATCAGAGACCATGTAAAAAAATCACCAAGTGAATTGATTGAACAGCAAACTTCATACAACAGCTACCACTATTCTGCATTACTGCTAGTAGTGGCATTTTAAATAAACAACCAGTAAACAGATTATCCCGCTGTAGTCAAGTAAGTGTAGGTTATAGAACAATCACTTCTTAAAGTAAATTGTTGTAAACGGCAAGTTACATCTTTTAAGGCAATATACCTCGTTGCTGAAGGCATTACACGTGTTCTCTTTTTAATGCTCTAGAGAATTATACATAGTCCAAAACTTTATTTTGTCTTCCATCTGGCAGAAGAAATCTTCCCAATAAATTTACCAATGAACTCTACTTTTGGCAAATACCTATGGAGTGTAGTCCACAAAGTACACGTGCTTCCCTTGATTGCTTTTTCCTCTGTAAAATTCTGTTGATTATTGTGTATGCCAGGAATTGAAAAATGGTGGCAATTCATTACTAACACATTTTACATTTTCTCTCCTGTAAACATTGCAACAAAATGGTAACCTGGCTCGCTAGAAAAACGTTTGTTTTTCCTCATTATTAGAACTTACCTTTATGGGAGAAAATTTGTTATTTATACGTAACTCAATGATATGACTTTATATTATTAAGGCTGAAATGATAATGAACTCTGCTCGCAATAATAATTACAGTGCCATCAGAAACAGTTACCAAACAACCACAATTTGAAATAATACCTCTTTTTAAAAACTATTTCCCCCCCTCGTGAGTTATTGTACCTGGCTAATTTCTCCAGCGGTAGTAAAAACACAAATGTCCTTGTTAGTGGCTTGCACTAAACTGAGGTGTACACGTGTGAAAATTACTTGGCTGTTTAACTCCTTGCCTTTAGATGCTGCCTGTGTGGAGGAGGCCTGACAGAGCAGCCGGACAGGGGTGCCTAGGGGGTGCTGGGCCCGGGGCGCTCCCTGCCTGCTCCCACTCCCAGGCCTGGAGCTCCTGGGCTGCTGGCAGGGCTGGGCGCCATATTTAACATCCTCAACTCTGTAGAGCCTATTTGGTATAAATTTATGCTTATTCCTCCCCCTCCCCCCCTCCCAGGATTATTTCAGGAACCTGAAAAGACACCTCTGTAATTTACAATTCCTAGCCAAATCAGCATATCTCTAATCGGCAGTAAACAGGGTCAGGGAACAGAGTTACTTTGAAAGTGATGCGTTGTTTAATTGACAAGGCAAAATTTTAGGTTTCAAGTTTGCATATTGCACCTTTGTAGCTTTTGGATTTGGCTTTTTTTTCCCTTCCTTTTTTTTTAATTTTTCTTTGTTTTTTGTGGTCAAGGGAAGACCTTTGTCAAGCAGACAAGGCTTTCTACCAGAGTGAGGGGCTTTCCTGAGCAGTACATTTTGTACGTATTTACAGTTCTCTGGAAATAAGGCTGTAATCTATGCAGCTCTAAACATACGAATGTAAACATTCATCTCAGAACAACTTCAGTAAGCAGATTTTTCATGACCATCGTAATTTCAGCAGAGCAGTTAAGTATGCAATGCACCTTTTGCAACTGGCAGTTTAAAGTGATGTCTGTGTGTGTGTGTGTTTGTGTGTGTGCGTGCAGGGGGGAAGGGTAACTCCACTGAAAGGCAATTGTTTACTCTTTCTAAATATATTTGGCTGCAGGTATTCTTAGACCAGGCCTTTTACAATGAGAGGAAAACTACGGTGTGGATATAGTAAACAGAGCTGAAATCAGTGAGTGGCTGCTTGGAATATTTAGAGACAGGAGGGGTTGGGAGAGGGCATCACAAAAGGCAGGAATTAAAAAGTTGAAACCCAGGCAGTGGATTGCCATTAGAAATGTTGACTTTGAGTCACACAGTAAACATCACATTGTTGTTTTGTTTTCCTTTTTTTGAGTTACGATAAATTATTCTCCCGGGATTGATCGATGAGTGGAATCCTTAAAATTTAATTTGGGAATGATCTAGTATAAATAAAATGCTAATCCAAATAAAGAAACCAGCAATTATTCATCCTAAACTCTGCTGATTCAGCAACTCAATTATAACTGCCTTTCTCAAGCTGCAAACTTTTCAGGCTGTTTTCAGAGTTGCTGTACCCATCCTCCCCCCGCAAGGGAGACCTTCCCCCGTCCTCAGCTCTGCCTCCACCTCGGCCTTCAGCCTTTCTCTTTTTTTTTCTTCCCCTTCCCTTTCTTTCCGAGGGGTTGGGGGGAGGGAGGGAAACAGTTAACCTCTTGAAGCGTATTTCCTCTAAATAAAAACAGTGAACTTACAAACGGAGAGGAAACCACGAATAACTCTGCAATAATTCAAAGTCTATGGAATCAGGATTTCTTTTTTTTTTCTTAAACAGTGTTTTTAATTGAAAATAAAGCTAAGCATGCTTTTCAACAGTGCAAATTTCCATAATTTTGATTTACTGCTTCCATCATCACAATATATTATACCAGCATGTCTTACCGAGGGCTAGGCTCTAGAAGCCTGCCTGTTCGACTATCTCGATATTAAGTGCAAATATAGAGAATTGCCTCTGATTGTCACGTGCAGTAGAAATGTTCCTGCTACATGGAGAGGATGGCACGGAAAAACAAAAACCAACCACGACAACAGATTTCAAGAGATGCGGATAGAATCGGGAAGTGTAACGCGGTTGAAACGCCTGAGTTTTGGTGCCAAAAAGCTATGAATAACACGGTCTTCTTGTTTTGTGTATTCTTTCCACTTACGGCCTCTCGTTTCACTTTCTGTGTTGTATTTACTGCTTTGCTATTTCCTCCAGCCAGCGTGAGGGGCTGGACCATAAATTGTGCTGCAACCGGGCAAATATTTTAGTTGCTTGCAAGTTTGTAAGGGGCATGTTCAGACCACAACTTAAGCACGACATTAGTGGGTAACAGTAACCTTATTTAAGACCTCTGGGTGAAACAAAAAGGCTTTCCAATTGCAAAGAGTGGCCGTACAAGTAAAAAGACACCCTTTTACCAAAAATAGAATTCCACATTTATTTACTGGTTTCAGATGAGGCAGCTTTTCCCAGCGCTGGGGTCGCAGGCGGACCCCAACCTTTCCAAACCAGACAAAAAGGAGTAAGTGCAACTGCTGTTCGAAAAGGACACCCCTGCACCCGAAAACAAAGCTCCCGAAAAGTAGGCTGCTGCCACATTGAATTATAGTGAACCCTTACTGTGCAACCATGTAACTTAACAAACTTTAACTGAATTAACAGTTAGACTTCCATTTTCGAAATCTAGTGCATAAATTTAATGGCTCATTCTAATATTTATTATTCAACCTTTTGACATTTATTTGCAGCAGTTGAATTGAGGTACTGGTGCATTATTAGCATTTAAACAGTAAAGTGTTCCAGCTCTACCATAATAACTGAGTTTAACCTTAAGTCTTTAGCCTGAAGTACTCTGTGGAATGTAACAAAAAAAAAAAAAACCCAAATGCAACAGAACCAAAAAATTGTTTAAAAAACCAAACCAAACCAAAAAACCACTGTTGTAATGGTAAAGAAAATAGTAATCCGGTTTCTGTCTTCATAATGTGATAAAACAGGATTCCAAAAGTGTGTATAGCATTAATGGGCTTGTACAAACCATCCTGCAGAGTTTTAAGAAAAAAAAAAAAGTAAGAAAGTTAAAGGTGGTTCAAGAAAATATTTTCTGAACTATTTTATTAATTAAATTTCCTGAATTTGTGGCTAGGTGGAAGAGGTATTGCAGAACCGCCCAGCTGCCATTTCCATACAGGATGGGCCTTGTGAGGTGGTTGGGAATCCTTAGTGGTGTTTAAGGAATAAGCTGGCAACAAATCCCCATCATTGCCAATAATTAGTGATGGTGGACAGGGAAAATTTGCCATGAAATTAAATGGCCTTTTCACTGCTGATGCTACATTGCTGGCTACCCTTTTGCGTCTATTGTTAACTGTAAAATCATCCAGTGTTCCTTCATGTGTCTCGATTTTACCTGTAGGACGTGGGCTTCGAGCTGATTTCAAATTTGGTTTGACTGGAGGAGTCTGCAGTACAGGTCGCTTTCCCAAGACCAGTGTCCTGTAATTTTTTCTCACCCTTGCTCCAAATTTATACTCCCCATCCTCAGGTTTTGGAATACCTAAAGTGCATGAGAGGACCTGACTCTGAGTCAGCGGGTTTAAGGAAGTGGTTTCTTTCTCAGTGCATGCAGAATCTTCCTTGGCTGTTAATAAAGCGTCCTGGTTATTACTCTCAGTCACACCGTAAAACTCATCCTTGGTATCATTGCACTCACACTTTAGCTTATGTGTTGTAAGGTCAGGCTCATACTCGTCGTTCGCACTGCTGTCCTCTATTTTGATTTTAATGCTGTGCAGGAATGGCAATGCCTTATTGCCTGTATCAGTGCACTGGAGCTCAGCTGCTGCTGCTGCCCCTGGAGACGCAGCATCCTCCTCAGGATCAGTTTGTAAAGAGGGCAAATCCGTGGCAAATTCAGTACAATGAGGGATTTTGGAATCTTTCTCTGAATTTGCTGCCGCTGATGAAGAATCATTATTTAAGAACCTAGCAGCTATTGTGTTGTTATCTGCACGGTGTGTAGTAGTTGCTTGAAGGCATTTCCTTGCCTCTCTGAGTATTCTTTGTTGTGGAAATGCATTGTTTGTCTTTGGGCTAGGTGAAGAGGCCCCCTTTGCAACACAGTTAATTGTTAGGTCAGTACTCTTGGCATTATTGGAAAATTCAGAGTGTGGGAATGTGATCTCGGATACTCTAGCATCTCTTATCTCTGCGAAGCAGCTCCCCAGGCCGCCGGAGCAGCGCAGCGCCGGGGCGGCGGGAACCCAGCCGGGACGGCCCCACTCCTCTGGCAGCTCCGGCTTGACGCCGCCGGGAGCGCTGCGGCGAGCAGGCAGCCCGCCGGGATC